ATCATGGAAGCCGCCTTCACGGCCACATGCTCCTCTCCAGACGAAGCAGCTACGGCCGAGGCCTCCTCACCATCCTCCCCGACCTGCGGCTCAGCTAGGACACTGAAACGTGATCCAGAGCTAGAAGCCGCCATCGTCGGCGAAAGACCTCCCGGCGCGAGGGTAAGCCGCCGTCGACCCGGCAAGACACGTGCGCCGACGCGCACAACACAGTCAAGGAGCACCATCTCATTCCCGCTAGAGATCCTCTCCCCATCCCGAAGACGCCTCCCTTCCTCGATCATCCCATCGCTGTTCCGTAAGAAACAGAAGTCCGGACGATCTAGGAAAAGAGAGCCGACGCGCCACTCCGGCCTGCCATCGAGGAAGGCGGTGGAGAAGGTCGCCGCCCATTGGAGCGGCGGGGCCGTTTCCGGCGGTCTCCTCATCCAGTCCGATTTGGACAAGTATATCGAAGATATCTGCATGCTAGTACATGCTCCATGCTAGTATTAACCATAGGCTTTTCAACTAGACTGGTACTATGGATGGAACGTAGGGGATTACCGAGTCATGGTTGTGGTGTATCAAGCGTTCTACACCAACTACATCTATGATAACTTGTTGAACCAACACATCTTGGCATAGATAGTACATGGTGGCTCTGAAAAATTCAATCGTCGGGGGACAATAGACGTTGAAGATGTAACGTCGTGTCCATCTTGGTGGGTTGGTTTCTACGTCGTTGCACATCCAAATCTCAACTGACTCATACTTGGGCCCTGGATGAGCCACACTCAGCTCCCCGCGCAGCTCGCCCAAGCAGGATGTCGCGTATATGAGCCCCGTGCAGCAAGGAGGCGGTCGCGTGACGCTGAATGATTCGTCGTCCAGCCTGAAGCGGAGAAACCCTGGTGCGGATTCTCCATCCGTGAGTTTGTTCTGATCAATGGGCCAAAACAATGAGCCCTTGAAGAAGGTTGGGTTTCTCAAAATGTCCGCAGGGTAGGGTGGATTCACCGCCATCTCACGCCAATGCTGGTCTACCCCGACGGTGAAAACCTCCATCCCAAAGTTGTGGTGGTAACCGCCCCGGACCGGATCCATATGGCCGAAGAAGAAGCGTGCGACCTTGTAGGTGTCGCTACGAGGGTCGTAGCTGATGCGCAGCTTGTAGAAGCGGTCAGTTGCTACACTGTTGGGGCTCGCAGGCAGTGGGAGGACGCGCCGTGTGGCTGGGTTGACCACGCGGACCACGGTCTCCGTGGGCACCAGCACCAGCCCATCGCAGTGCGCGAAGAAATGCGCGTCATCTTCATGGGGTAAATCCATGGTGTCCATGAGGGCTGCACTCTCCTCCGACACGTACAAGCCGATGGTGGTGAACTTGTTCCTGCGGTCCTCTCTCGTACTGGTCCAGACGAGCAAGCGTGGCTTCTGGGCACGGAGGTGGGCGCCACGAAACGCCGTGTTGTCGGAGATGGTGTGGCGCCACGCCTTGCAGACGCACCTGAACCGGAGTAGCGACTTGACGGGCAGCCGCGCCATGATCTCCAACACGAGGTTGGGTGGCAGCTCGCACGGCGCTATTTTGCTCATCAGGGCTGTCTCGTTGTCCATGGCCAAGCCAGATCGTGCCGATCAGATGCTTCTTCTTACATGACAGGCCTTCAACGTATGTTATACAGCAGAGGAAAGAGAAAAGTCTCGTCGGTGTCGGATTAGGTGTCCTCAACGCATCAGAAGTCTCCGCAAAAAACGCATCACAAGTCGTGTCTGACTCCTATTCTGCTCGCGTTCTTATATGTATATACGCGTATAGTATTCTCATGGTTTCCAAAATTTAATTATGATTACATTAATTATCTTCAGAGATAAAATTATACGGGATCAACAAAACTATGAGAATATTCTTCAGGCCACTGTTACAATTACTACAAAACTGCTACTGTTACTTTTGTCACTGTTACCGTTACTTCCATACTGCTTTGCTACTAAATACTTTGCTGCAGATACTAAGTTATTCAGGTGTGGTTGACTTGACAACTCAACTGCTAATACTTGAGAATATTCTTTGGCTCCCCTTGTGTCAAATCAATAAATTTGGGTTGATTACTCTACCCTCGAAAACTGTTGTGATCCCCTATACTTGTTGGTTATCACCCATAGTCGTCGGGTGAATCACCGGGAGCTCCGTATGCAAGCATCCTCATAGCTGTCGTACACTTCTGGATCGAGGTGAATCCAAGTGTGCCGGTGCAATCCTTCTTGCACTTGAAGTAGCTGTCGAACTCCCGGATGGAATTCACAATCCGGAGGAAAAGCTTTCGGCTCATCCGATAAAGGCGCCGAAATGTTTTCTCACCGTGCAATGGAGCGTCGGCGAAGTAGTCCGAGTAGAGCATGCAGTAGCCATCCAGACGATGCCGGTTCTTTCCTTTCACCCGCCCAAGCGCCGAGCCACCTCGCCGTGGCTTTTCACTGCTCAGGAGCAAGCCGGCGAGGGCGGCGAGCACCATGAGATGCTCCTGCACCTGGACGTTGGCTTCGGCTTCCTCATCCAACAACGCCGCCTCATCTTCGGAGTCCATCGCCGGCCCGGGCAATTCAACGAACACCTTGTGGGTGAGGTGGGCGCAAGCCCACGGGTGTACAGGCCCTGCGCGGCCGGAACGCCGGAAAAGGTGCCCGGACGGCGGCGAAGAGGCTGCCTCAGCGAAACCCCTTCTTTTTCCCGGCGGAAGAGGGTCTACCTAGCTGCGGTGGGCGGTGAATGACGCCGGGATCGGCAGGGCGGCGCAGGGTGGCGGCCGAGCGCTTGGGATAGGAGGCGAATCTGGACGGGTGGCTTGACTTTTCGCCTGACAATGTGGCCCTAGGAACGCTTTTCCCTTGCGCCGGAGCCCCCGAGCGCCCCCCAGTGCGCCGGATTCGGCCTGCGAGCGCCGGACGCAAAAACGGGCCGAGCCGGCGGAATTCGGCGTCCTGGGGGCGCGACTGGTCCGTTTTTTGGCGCCGGCGCAAAATATCCCCTGGGGCGGCCGTTCTGGGGGCGAAGCTGGAGATGCTCTAATACCAAACAGACATTGCAGCAAAGCCTAACATCTAAAGCCGGGTGTCCCATCCAAGCCACTACCTGGATTGGGTCCCACACCCGCCGCTGCCAGATCTCAGCAAGGAGAAGTCCCCCAACCGAGACCCGCCGGCCGAGCAGGGCAGGCCGAGACCGCGCCCGTAGGACCAGATCCGTGATGGATCCATGCCCGCGCCTCCGCCCTGGAGCCAACCCCGTGCGCAGCCGCCACGGCCTGGCCGCCCGCTCGTGACGCCGTCTGGCCGCCGTGCTGCCCGACGCGCCCTCGCCCCATAAGCACCAAGACTCCGCCGCACCACTTGAGTTGGTTATACCTGGCAATGGTGATGTTTTTGCATCGTTACCTTGTTGAAGGCATTGCTCAGAAATGCTCAGACTGGTTCTTCAAGGTGAAAGCCCAGACTCTGACTTTTGGCTGTTGGATCCGGTGACGGCGGCGCTTGAGCATTGCTCCCTTCTTGAAGGTTTTGCTGTTGAAGAATCTCGATGTCCTTGTGGTGTTATGAGATGGTTGGTGCGAATATGGTCATGGTTGTAGTTTGTCGATCGCGGATTTGACCTATTCGGGTTTTTTCCTCGCTCTGGCATAGCAATGGTCTTATATGACTTCGCTATTCGCCAGCGATTTTTTTTATGTGTGGGTGTGCGTTGGTGTTGGTTGTGTGCATCCTAACTATGCAGAGGCCCTGGAAATCGCCGGACGTTGCAAAAATGCTTGACGGTCTCAACAAAATTGGATCATCGTCGCAACTTCGGAAGATTTCGGTGCCAGCAAAAATGGCTCGCTGGTTCGTGCAAGATCAGTCGTCGTTTATAGCTCAGTGATATGCTGGTTCCAACACCCTGGCTCGCCATCGTGCCAACAACACCACACTCCAGCATCAGCAATTGCCGGTTGCAGTGTCTGTGGCAGCCGTGTCTAGCACGGGCGTTTGCCGGTTGCTGCACCATCATATGGTGGCATCGCTTACGGGGCCCATTTGTTCGCAACTAAAATGAATCGCCGTTGCCCTCCTCTGCCGAACACTCGTACCGGCCTCGACCGGCTTTGCTACATAAACGGACTAATACGGGGCTTTACGGGGTTTGGCGCCCACCCCCACCAGTTAGAATCAGGGAGGCCCGGTTAATTAGAAGGGAAGGTTAATTATCCCAATTAAAAAAGAACAAATCAGCTGATCCGTAAAGGCATGTGGATTTATTCCATGTGTGTAGCATTTTTGGGCCTTGACACCATGACCCACACACCACCTCCAGGACTTCCCTCTCTCTTTATCGTCACCCATACGTCCACCCACATCCCCGATCACCAGGCACATGACACCATCCCCATCCCCAGCCGGCCGGCCGGCCGCTCACCACCACACGCGCGTACCAGCTGAGCAACAAGCCAACAATGCCAGCGACGTGATGTTGCTCCTGGCGTGCATACTAGGGTAGAGAAGCGGCCATGGGAGTGTTTTCTTCTTCCCCATCTCGAGTTTTTGAAGTTTTCAAAGGAATCTTGTCCAACCATTTCCAAATTCCTGTACAGGTGTTCAGGTGTGTGATGCTGGTCAGTCCGTCGGTCGTTTTCAGTTGCAGTTTTCTGTCAAATCCGTCAATTGGTGCATCTATATATGCAACTTCATCGTTAATTCGTCCAATCGGACAGTACCCTCCAAAAAAAAAAATCAGAATAATTGTGGACAGGATCATCGGGGCTAGGTCAATTTTCCCCCACGTGATTAAGACATCGTACAGGCTGTACAGCACAGCACATGACTGAAGACTTTGAATGAGTCATACCAAACGTGTCACAACCTGATAGATAAGCTGAGTTGCTGAGATTTGCTATATATGCATCTGCTGTTCTGCATGTTTATACACAACAAGGAGACGAGAGAGTGAAGAAAAAAAAGCAGACATACTGAAATCCCTACTGAAAATGGCTCCGCACTGGTTACTAGCCTTAGTCTCGTTGCTGCTGCTCCTGCAAACTCCGTCCATTTCCTCCCTTGATGCTAGGGGATCGGATGCGACATGCGTCGCCCATGAGAGGGCGGCACTCCTCTCCTTCAAGGCAAGCTTGTCAGACCCCGCGAAACTACTTTCATCGTGGCATGGTGAACATTGTTGCACCTGGGGAGGAGTTGGGTGCAGCAACAGAACCGGCCATGTTCTCAAGCTCAACCTCAGTAGCTGCAGCCAAGAATTCGGAGTGCGAGTGGGAGGTGAGATCAGCCCCTCTTTGACTACCTTGCATCACTTGAGGTATTTAGACTTGAGCTGCAGCAACTTCAGTGGGGTACAGATCCCCCAAAAAATTGGTTCTCTTAAAAGTCTTCAGCATCTTGATCTTTCTCGTGCAAGCTTTGTGGGCAGGGTACCTCCACAGCTTGGTAATCTCTCCAATCTTATATTTCTCAGTGTCTCGGACAATCCTTTGTACTCAGATGATCTTGCATGGTTATCACATCTCACCTCACTACAGTACCTCGATATGAGCTCGGTTAATCTTAGCACAGTAGTGGATTGGGTGCATGCAATCAACAAGCTTCCTTCATTGAAAGTTCTTCGTTTGGAAGACAGTGATCTCAGAAAAAGCCCTGCTACTCTCTCTCATTATAATCTAACAGCCCTCCGGGTGTTGGATATCAGCGGTAATAGCTTTCAGGCTGGATTTTCTCCCAGCTGGGTTTGGCATATAACTACATTGACTTATCTTGATCTCTCCCAATGTGATTTCCATGGCTCCATTCCTGATGAAATGGGAAGTATGACCTCTCTTGAAGAAGTTCACATAGCCGAAGCCATCCTTGCCGGTATAATACCACCAAATTTGAAGAATCTATGCAATTTGAAGATTGTGGATCTACATGATAGCAACACCACAGGGGATATAGGAGAACTAATGGAACGGTTGCCAAAATGCTCATGGGACAAGATGTACGTGTTGGATTTCTCGGACAACAACATCAGTGGGAGCTTGCCAAATTGGTTTAGACCTCTAACTAATTTGACTATTTTAGATTTGTCCTATAATTATATAACAGGACCTGTGCCACTGTGGATAGGAGCACTTCCAAAACTGGCTATGCTACATCTTCATTCTAATCAACTAGTTGGTGAAATAAATGAAGATCACTTAGAAGGGCTGAGAAGTTTACAAGAACTACGAATGTCAGATAACTCTGTTTCCATGGTGGTCAGGTCAGACTGGGTTCCTTCATTCAGGCTACAGGTGGCCGACCTGAAGTCATGCCGGATTGGACCCGCATTCCCAACATGGCTCAGGTGGCAATCTGACATTCAAGTCATTGACATCTCTAATGCGTCCATAACTGATAATGTACCCGATTGGTTTTGGACCGTAGCTTCAAATGCTACTCTCTTGGATATGTCAAATAATCAAATAAACGGCACACTCCCAGCATCCTTTGAAACGATGGAAGCAGAGAGAATGGACCTAAGTTTTAATAGATTTACTGGTACAGTCCCAAAGTTTCCTAGGGGCGTAACCTTTTTTGACTTATCCAGAAACAAATTATCAGGGACACTGCCCTCAGATCTGGAAGCCCCGGAGTTATCTGTGCTTGCTCTTTACAACAATTCAATTTCTGGCAACATACCATCTTCGTTGTGCAATTATTCATTGGAAATATTGGACTTATCAGGAAATATGCTGACAGGAGAGGTACCCAATTGCCAGCAGGGAGATCTTGGGGGCTTCACACCACTGAGGTCATTAAATTTAAATAGCAATAATCTTTCAGGAAACTTCCCGTCAGTTCTTCAAAGGTCAAAAGATATGATTTTTCTTGATCTTGCATACAATCAGTTCTCTGGAAATTTGCCAGCATGGTTAGTAGAAAACATGACATCCCTTGCATTGCTACGACTGCGGTCGAATATGTTTTCGGGGCATATTCCTGTTGAACTTGCAAAGATTGAAGGGCTTCAATATTTGGACCTCGCATGCAACAACTTTTCTGGAGGTATACGTGAATCCTTAGCAAAGCTGAAGGCAATCGCTCGGATTAATGGATATAGTCATTCACTGGATGAACTATCAGATTATTCTTTAAGCTTTCTTGAGGCAGCCAATACGGCTAGGGTCAAACTTTCCTACACAACAACTTTGTCCGTGCTTACTAAGGGACAACAACTTGAGTTTTCCGAAGAGTTGCCATACATGGTAAATATTGATCTGTCCTGCAACAGTTTGACGGGAGGAATCCCTGATAGAATTAGTGCTCTGATTGCTTTGAAAAGCTTGAACTTTTCTTGGAATCATCTGACTGGGAGGATTCCAAAGAATATTGGTAACCTCACTGCACTCGAGTCCCTGGACCTATCTCATAACGAGTTGTCTGGAGAAATCCCTTCAAGCATATCAGCTATTACTTCTTTGAGCCGCTTCAACTTGTCATTTAACAATCTCTCCGGACAGATACCAGCAGGGAATCAGTTGCAGGTGCTCGATGACCCAGCATCCAGTTATATTGGTAACATTGGTTTATGTGGGCCTCCACTCTTGAAGAGTTGTTCTCCAAATTTAACAACAACTACCCCAGCCAAAGATGATGGGAATCATCACGATGGAGTGGAGACGTCTATCTACCTGAGCATGGTTGTTGGCTTTGTCTTCGGCCTCTGGGTGGTCTTCTGTGTCATGTTGTTCAAGAAGAGATGGAGTATGTCTTATATAGCCGCAGCCATAAAGGTTCGGTGGTGGTTTGTGTCTAGTGGACTCTAGAGATTCACTTGAGTCTACTCGTTTTCTATATTCTTGTAACCGATGTAATTGCTGCTCCTTATAAACACGAAGGCGTCCCTGCCTAGTGGCATACATTTCCACCCATCGCTCCTACGAGCGCTTAAATGGTAGCAGAGCCTGTTAGCCCGTATGGCTGCTTCTTCCTCTGTTTCCGCATCCTCAATCAGCAAGTATCTAAAAAACTGACAAGAGAGAATTGTGTCTTGCGGAAAGCGCATGTCATGCCGCCAATTCATGGTGCCATGCTTGCTGGTTATCTAGATGGCTCGCTTCAGGGGACGGAGAAAACCATCACCACTACCATGGATGGGGGATGTCAGGAAGCCTTCACTGCAGCCCATGCCCAATGGCTTGCTGTCAAGATCAACAAGTTCTGGGGTACGTATTCAGTTCCCTCTCCAAGGAAGTGTTGACTCAGGTCGCCTCGTTGCCGAGCACGGCAATACTTTGGGCAGCCGTCGAGCAGATGTTTTCTTCTCAGTCTCGTGCTGACACCATCAATATCAGGATGGCTATGTCCAACATAAACAAAGGGAATATGTCTGTTGCAGATTATTTCTCCAAGAAGAAGGCCCTTGTGGATGACATGCATCTGTCGCATAGTTTTAAATAGCCGGCTATAGCCCCGCTAAATGGTCTCATGCACAAATGGACTAGCTGATTTGGAGGTCCGCTGCTATTTAGCATAGCCCGTTATTTAAAACATTGATCTGTCGGCAGAAAGATTTTATGATGATGACCTGATTTCTTACCTATTGGCATGGGCTGGACATTGAATATAATCCGTTGGCGGCTTCCGTTCTTGGGAAATCAGCAACTGATATGACTATGCCCAATGAATTGTATGCTCAACACACGGAGATTCTCCACTCTAGGCACACCGGTTACCGCTTGACACGGTAGCACGGCGGGGACGATGGGTCCTCCTTCACAGGCGCCTACGACAGTGGCGTCGGACCCATCTGAAGGAGCGAGCGTTCCGTCATGATCTCCATCTCACGTACAAATTATTTATCGGTCGGAGTCGCCTCCGTGAGGAGGCACGGCCGCTGCCCCGGCTTCTGGCTCTCCTCGCCATCGGGGGAGATGATGATCTCCTCCTTGCCGTAGGAACCGGCTGCCGTGTACGATCAGGGGCCCGGAGAGCGCGTGCAGCGGCATCAAGATCCATCGGCTGCCTGCTGGCGCTGACCAGCACGACTTCGGCATCGCCGCTGTAGGAGGAGGGGCTCCGGGAGGTAGAGGATGGCCACGGAGAGGAGCAGGGGATTTGAGAGGAGGTGTGAATGTGCATCGGCGGAGCATGTCTTATATAGCCGCAGCTAGGCCAGGCGTACGGGCGGTCAGCCTGCCTTAATGTGGCGCAGCGGCCAGAAGTGTTTTCCCGGGACGCGACGTCCGCATTGAAGCGGCGACGCCGGAGAGGTCGCCTCCGTCAGCGCCGTCTTGACGTCTGGTCGTGTCGCTCGACATCAATATCGGTTGCTGCATGCTCTGCGCCGCCATGAATACGGCGCCGCAAGCGGCGGGGGCGTTAGATGAAAAGTGCAGGAGAGGCGGGTGGGCCAGGGCTGTCATACGCGGACATGGCAGCGCTTCGGATGCCCACATACCCTCCACTTTGTCTTTCGGTTTGTGAGAAAAAATGCGTCCAGACCAGGCGGCGACTCATTACGGATCTTTGTTGAATGGCACAACACATTCAGACCACACAGTCCGGTCGTATGCAGACGGTTTGAGGTCCGCATTGGAGTTGCCGTGAACCCTATCGGCAATCATTGCTCCAGTCCAGCCTCAAGGACACAGAATGTTCAGAAGGCATCTACGTCACTGGCCTGTCCTTGTGATAGTACCCACTTTGAGTGAGCATATGACAATAATCAACAGGGCCAGCTGACATCATTTTATTCAGTCGCTAGCTATTCTCGTCTTATCCACGGCATCCCCCGGGCGTCCTCGGTCGAACACTCGTACCGGCCTCACACCATGCCCAGGCCTTCCCTCTCCTCACGACCTCACCATCACCCGTACGTCCTCCCACATCCCCGGTCACCACGCACACCACCCACATCCCCAGGCAGCTGGCCGGCCGGCCGCTCACCACCACCCGCGCGCCCCAGCTGGGCAAGAACGCCAGCGACGTGATGTTGTTCTTGGCGTGCAGACCACGGCACAGAAGCGGCCACAGGAATTGTTCTTAGGTTGTGTCCAACCATTTCTAAATTCATGTACAGGTGTTAAACCGTGTGATGCAGGTCAGTCCGTCGGTCTAATTAAGTTGGAGTTTTTTGTCCAATCCGTCAATTGGTGCATCTATATATGCAAGTTCATTATTGTTAATTGGTCAGAAAATCAGACAGTACCCTCCAAAAAAAATCAGAATAATTGTGGATGGGATCATCAGTGCTAGCTAGGTCCTTTTTTGGAGACATTTTCTGAAGAACAGGACTGAAGACTTTGAGTGATGCATACCAAACGTACGTGTACGTGTCACAACCTAAGAGATGGGCTGAGTTGCTGACATTTGCAACATATACATCTGCTGTTCTGCATGTATACACACAACAAGAGAAGAGAGAGTGAGAAAAGAAAAGGCATACTGACTGAAATCCCTACTGAAAATGGCTGGGCACTGGTTACTAGCCTTAGTCTCGTTGCTGCTACTCCTGCATCATCCATCATTTTCCTCCCTTGATGCTACTGGATCGGATGGGAGCTGCGTCGGGCATGAGGTGGCTGCACTCCTCTCCTTCAAAGCAAGCTTGCCAGACCCCGCGAAACAACTTTAATTTCATCACCGCGTGGTGAAAATTGATGTATTTGGAATGGAGTTAAGCGCAGCAACAAAACCTGCCATGTTGTCAAGCTCAACCTCAGTGGTTGCGGCTATGAAACGCAAGTGGGAGGCGTGATCAGCCCCTCTTTGACTGCCTTACACGGTTACACCACTTGATGAACTTAGACTTGAGCTGTAGCAACTTCAGTGGGGTACAGATCCCAAAATTTGTTGCTTCTCTAAAAATTCTTCAACATCTCGATCTTTGTGAACGAGGGCTTTGGGGTTAACAGGAATCCCAAGACTAGGCGTGTGTTGGGCTCGGGTAGGATGTTGTGGGACAAGTCCTTTCCCTAAACCAAAGAATGTCAAAATACAAAAGGAAAAAACGGGGTTGATGACAAGGTCGAAGCCAAATTGCAAGAACGACTAGGAACCGCGCAAAATGCGGGATGCAGCCAAAAGAAGTTAGCTCAAATATTACCGCAAGGCACACCGAGTCCTACCCAACAGCATATGTCTAGTATCACCCAACAACCATGAGCATCACACTTTGCTTCATGTTGGCTGCAAGGCAAACTGGATGACGTGATGATAAGGGTTGTCAAGGGGCAAATCATAACGTTTACCAATGGTACTAGAATGATGCACGGGGTTGTCCTACCAGTGGACATGACGAGAGTGATGCTGCAAGAGATAATGACGGGCTTTGAATCATGGTCGTTGCCTCATCCCCCTGAATAGGGCATCACTATGTTAGGACAATTGACCCAGGGCTACCTGCTTAAGAGGCCGCTGACTGATTTAGAGGCGATTCCTCGCAGATTCTCTGCTAATGACGGCGATCATGTCTTTGTGAACCTTGCCCGCATTTTCAACTTTGCCTGAACTAGAGACATAGTCCAAGATACTCGGCTATCAACAGAGAAGGATGTATGTGCCAACTGCGAGCCATCCGCTGGAAAACGACATGTGCCCATTTTCATTCCCGAAGGACTGAAATGGAATATGTATATGTATAAGCTCGGTCAACCGTTGCTATTAAACTCTACATTGAGGACCCTCTCGGTCGATCTTCATCTTCTACACGACGGCGCGGTACGTAAATCAAAAGAAGTTCAACATGGTTACAGTGCAAAGGTTATAATTTCATCCAGGAGTTTCTGGCCGATAAAATTGATTTGACATTTAATGAGGTGATCGATGGAAATATTTTCTATGTCAGCGCAGTCTCCCCGGATTTAATGAGGCTTTGGGCAATTCATCGAGCTTCTGATTCCCTACTCCCGCATAGTAAATTGGCCTTACCTGATCCATTTTGCATGCACTACCACAACTTGGAGTCAAAATTAGCCAGGAGCTCATCTCAGACTACTAGTTCCCGTGCATGCTTGAGAATCATCTGCATAAGGACACCTTTCTCGTGCCATACTACGACAAGTCGTTAACATGCACTCATTTATTATGAAACATATAGATGGCCTTGTGGGTTTGATCTCATCAGTGCTAATTTCTTCATTTTTTCGTGCAGCGATCGACATTAGATCATAATAGCATTATTGCTCACGCAGGGCTTGGCTTATTTCTTCGATTCGAAGAGAGACCCTCAAAAGCAATGGACCAATTTAAGGAGGTTCTAAATAATGGTCCATGCAAGTGTCTACAACTAAAAGGTAACATAGTATCTAGAACTCAAGTTCATCACTAACAATTGTTGCTATCAAGAACCGAATGCCAAAACTTCCCAAAGGTCTGGCTAATGTGCCACAGCCATCATGGATGACTTTTTGAAGAAAAGCCAATATTTATGAAATCATAGCCATATCATCAAGTGGACCGAGAAGATGGAGAGGGACTTGGACATAGGGAAATTATTAAGAGGGCATGAGGGGCTCCAAAAGGTGTTAGCCAAAATCATCAACAAAGAGGTTGTAAATGAGGACAGAAAGTTCCACTACCAGCTAGAGACAGATGAAGAACGATTTCACCAAGTCAAAGACATATTGCGGTCATCGATTGTCAGCGACTAGCCGAGTAGGTAGATACACTGCTTGAAAACAGGTTGTGAAACTGTTCATTATATGTTCAGACATGCATGTTTGTTGCCCTGCACTTCTTATACTATACGTTTGTTTCACTAACACTCTTAATTATTGTATCTACTTGGATGATTGCATGAATGCTAAGACAACATTCTATATAG